ATTCCTCGTTTGATTCCCGCAGCCGCTGGTTATCAGCTTCCGCCTCTCGAAGCTCCTGCACTTCCTCTTCCAAGGAGCGCAGGCGCTGGAGCTCTTCCTCCATCTCCTCCATTTTCAGTAGCTTCTTCTCCAATGCCGTCACCTGCTGTACACGATGGAAGATTTCCAGCTTCAAGTCGAAGTTCTGCTTGTTGAGTTTTGACACATACTGTGTAGAGAATCAGCAACGACAAGCCACAAACGCAGCGGCGGGATGCAACCTACCTCACCCATTTCTCTAACGCCCATATCATTCGGCTGTCTAGTGCCTGACGAGGCCACACTGTGGACTCTACGCTGTTTTTCGGAGCCAGCTTCTTCCCATGATTGAGTTCGAGACTGCGCCTGTGATTGCGCCGGCGACTGGGATGGAGACTTGCTTTTGGAATGAGACCGTTCCGGCGTTTGAGGATTGCATGGTTTCAATTCGTCTGATCCTCCTTTGGTACCTCGTGTTGCGCGCTGCTCTTTCAACAAATCTTGTAACAAAGCCGAAGAAGGATTAACCAATGTCGCAGTGGTTTCCGGTTCAGGCGTTCCTAAAGAATCCGAAAGCCATCAGCCATTGCCTTTCCAAAGTACCGTGAGTTTGTAGTGTAGGTATCCTACCGGCTCTCGATAGCTGAGGCGTGCGAGGTGTTGCAGTTCGGGGTGTCATTGATATGGGCGATGCGTCATTCAACCATGACATCTCTACAGAGTGGTCAATTGTTTGGGGTCGGTGTGGAGACGGGCTGGGGTATATAAGATCGTACCTGAACTCATCTGCGAGGAGGAATCCATGTTGACAGACCCCTTGACTCGGGCTAGGGCAGGAGGCTTCGGAGGGATAGATGTAACTGCACAGGAAACCGAAACGTCAGCTTTCACAATTCCTTGGTGTGTCTCCTATCCCTTCGGCGGATCAAGGGATAGTCCCAGTGGTGAGAACTCACTCTTGCGTCGCGCACTGTGACTCTGCGACAAGGAGAGGGGATCCTTCGAAGGAGAAGTAGCTGGAGATGGATAGGAGCAGTGGCGCAAAGAAGACGGAGTCACTGATTGCACCGAGATGGTGCTCCGTCTCTGGAGTTTCGTGTCCATTTTCGTACAATTGCGGGAACCGTAACAGAAAAAAAAAAGAGAGAGCGATCCCACTATTCGATGCGCATCACTGACAAGACGCAGGACACCAGTCTCACTGCAGTAAAACGCAGGATTGTATCCACCAAAGATGCAGGTCAGATTGAAAGAGGGGCTGTAATTCGACCGATAGCGTAAGGAGAAAAAGCAATGTCTCGTCCTGAGGATAAGGAACCGGGCTGGCGAGGCGTTGGGTGACGACAGGACAGGCCCACCGCCTCAGACAAGCTGGCGGAGGGAAGCGAGGACAAGGCAATTGACGCAGCCAAAGATAGATGGAAGGATCGCTCTCGCGACCGTCTAAGGGGGGGGAAGGTTAGAGGCAGCTGGGCTACGAACTGGAAGTGAGGGGAGAGAGGAGAAAAGGCGCCAGGAAGGATTGTGACGAGTCGAGCGTGGATCTTCAGATCACACACAGCCAAGACAGGAGAGAAAAGAGTGACAGGAAGTGATCCCCACACTGCACGATGGTCGGGGTGTGAGCGCTAAAAAGGTAGTACTGCACTCTAGTTTTTATTTGTTACAGTTCTAGATATGTAGTTTGGTGGTATGCTCCGATAGGGAATGGAATGAATTGCGGTTGCCATGCGACAGACGAGGTTGGATGTACTCCGTAGTAAATCGAGTTACTGAGTAAGATCGAGCCACGACAAGGGAATTTGGATGTCTTAAGCTGAGATATCAATGATAATTGATGTGTTTCTAAAGGAATGTAATCGATTCTCATTGAAGAAGAGGAGAATGGGATCCAGAAGTGAGCAATAGACCAGTTAGAGTAGTAGATTGTGAGATAATGACCTCGAGTGGATCAGCAAGTGGAGGAAACTAATTTAGACCCGCGGTTCCTTTCCCAGTGTTTTCCAGTCTTCTCGGTGTGTTCCCCTCTTTTTGAGTCTCGACTTTGGGGAGGTTGGCCAGTTAGTCTTCTAACTACAAGGGCTGGGCGGACCAGCCCAGCAGAATCCCTTTCGGTCTTACACTTAACTTACTTACACTTACACTTCGAGATCGATCGATTGAACCTCGGAATCTTCAACAGTTCTAATCAGCTCTCTTTCTTTCTACCACTTAAATCTCACCCCCTCTCCCTTCAATTCTCCGATCTCCTATCGATCTGCCTAGACTGCTTTCATCCACTACAATATCCCCCGTCTCATCCCGGGTTGTCTCGCGAAATCTGATGTATCATCCTCGGTTTGCCCCACGCTTCAGCAAAGCCCCATCCTTGGTGCCGTGGTCGACGGTGCGATTCCAGCAATCACTGCTGTAGACTGGCTTGGTCCCATCGTTCATGCCACGGTTAGCCTGAACGTGGTCTATACCTCGCTAGATCGAGAATCCGGTTCCAAGGTCAACTCCGAACACATTACGCAAAGTTTCCAAAATCCCGATGGCTCCAACGGGGGCCCTTTTTCGCGCTCATTCCTACTAGCAGTTTACAGTTGACTACCTGTCCAGCTGACTGATCCAAAGCCGCAGCAGATCATCTGGGCGAATTGCCTCCGGAGCGTTGGGATTGTCGCGAAGATCTGCATGGCAGACTATTGTGCTTCCACGGCCTCGCTTACTTATTTTTATAGATCTTGGGGACCCGATCATTTCGGTCTTCAAGGGTGAGCAGCAGAAAACTGTTGGGCTCCCCACCCGAACGAGGTTTGAGCACCACCATTATGAGTGAGCTCTCCCCCTTTTCGTCACTTGGTTGCCTTCAGAATATCATATCGTCGAATCTATACGTGGATCATACAGTCTTGAGTTGATGACAAGTGGCGATCGGATCTAAATCTTCCATCTACCGATTTCAAACCCTCCCTTCAAAAAACGTATCACATTGCTCGAAAACAACAACAAACAGAAAAGCATTCGCTTCTAATATGGCGGCGAGCACTGCTCAGCCTTCTTTAGTGTACCCTCACCCACCCGCTCACTCATTTCTTCTTCGACTCCCCGGCCCAGACCCGGGTCTCCTTGGCACTGTCATGCGTAGCTCGGAACACTGGGTGGAATCGAAGTCAGTAAGAAGGGAAAGCCGAAGGCTACGCAGTAAATCAACGGCACCGTCGACCTAACGTACATTGTCGTTCCGTCTCGTCCAGACCACGCAGGAAATCCGCCCCTTGGCCCAACGCGCCCTGCGGATTGTGCGCATGGTCGGCGATCTGCGCTGCACGCTTTTTGAATGTCTGTCGGACGATGAGCGATCCTGTTAACCTCCTCCCTCTTGAACATCATCACTCCCGGAGGGGGCATGGTCATACATTACTCAGAACATCCACCATCTCCTCTTCCTCAAACAGCTCCAGCACCCGTTCGCTCAGACTGTAGAAATGGGGCGCCAGCGAGCGCAAGTCCACCGTCCGGGGATCGGCCTTCAGTGCGTTCAGGACACGATCCGATAATGCATATGGGAGATCCAGCGTCACCAGTCGCGAGGTACCCAGCCGTGCACTGAGAGCGGTCCCATCAGATAAAAGCCACAATCAATGGCAACAAGTAGACATCAAAATTCGCTTACCCGATGGACAGCATCTCCCCCAACCAAAGTGGTAGGTCAATGCGAGTCCCGGCTTTGATCTGGGTAGCATGGTCAGTCAAGCCAGTATGCACAACTCAAGTCAAGAAAGTTTCCATACATTCTCTCCCGGATTACCTTCTAGAATGCCAAGACCCGGCACGTCGAGCTCAAATGTGCAGGGCAGTTTCTACATCAGATTTGCCCTCGTCAGTTGGTCAGAAGGGACACACCAGGCTTCTCCGCCAACCTACCTGTGCATCTGTTAGGATAGCATCGATATCATAGTAGGACATTTTGACGTGGATTTTCGATCTTCAGGTATCTTCTGCACTAAAGAATAGGCTGCTCACGCGGAGGGTTTGGCAGTGGACAAGCGAGACTGCGACGCGTCCCCGCAAACCGCGAGGTCACATGACTTTACACCTTATTCGGAAGGTGGACCAATGAGAGGGCTGCCATATAAGCGAGCTAGTATACAATTTTCGGGGCATCTCAAGTGCATCATTCTTTCAAGAAACTGCGGTGGATGCGACCGCGCATCTAGGCGATCAATCTCTGACCACTTTTGAGTTGACTTCTTACGATCCAGAATTATGGATAGCCCATATGCGTATAATTCTCTCAACGGACCATCTAGCATGAGTAGGAGATTATTCGACGGTTTTCTACACATGCAGGCCTGCAATACTACAGGTCTAATAACGTTATCGCTCCGATCTGTGAGCCGCAAACTATGCTTTGCCAGAACTAACGCTCTGAAGCGCTATGAACAGTGATAGTCTGTCGCAATTGCTAAGACATCTTATCTAAAGGCTTTTTAAAGTCTCCGTTTTCTCTGACGGAGCGACGCTTCTAGGAGGGTTATCTCACGAATGCCCATATGAAGATTGTCGCTGCTGCAATGCATACTTTGCATCTATCTCTCTTGTGGTGAGATATAGTTGGTATGGTGCCTCCGAGTTCGTGACTGGTGACGAGTAGCAGGAGCAGTTTCAGAAATGTGTAAGTTACTTCAATTCCGACAGGTTGTATATTTATCTAGAGCTCAGACGGATAGACCAAGATCAGTAGCTTCGATCGTGACAGAGTTGGTGCCACATCATGACGTTACAGCAAGACCCATCTCACCAGAGATGACGACATAACTGAAATCAATTGCCCAAAAACAGAGAATTCGCGCTTGAAACCCCTGATGCTCCATGACCCTTGAGATCTAGATATCTAGGGCTGGCGCAGCCCATGACTAAGCCAAGTCACCTGCTTCTCACATCCATCATCACGTGCATCGGCAGCAATCAATCCATTGCGGCAACCCGTCGTAGGTCGATTCACACCTTTTCCCACAATTTCAACCTCTGTTTGTCTCTTGACCTTTCCCCGCGAAAGGACAATCTTGTCTTGGTCTTGAAGGCACCGGTCCTTCTGATTCTCCCGTGGGACTGTCTCCTCCCGATGGGCGGATCCCTCGACGCCGCCCAGGACAGTGGACGCTGTCGAGCTCGATGACGATGGCCCCTCCGAGCGGGTCGGCAGTGTACAAGAAGAAAGATGGCACCCTGACCATGTCGCCGGACCAGCAGTCGGTCTCCTGGATCCCGGCGGCTGGAGGTGCGACGGGGACGATCACGATCTCGGTGGCTCAGATAACGAGTGCGTGGGTTTTCTTTTTGTATTTTCGCAGCTTTGTTTAGAACGCGACCGCCCACTTTTGCTCCTCTCGAGCTATTCTTCTTCGCTCAGAAAGACTAATGACATGACGAAAATATGGAAATAGATTTACAACAGACCCCCGCGACTAGCCCCAAAGTAATGCTGAAGATCCACGTCCTCCCTCCCAACGCACCGGACAACACCCCCGAACAGTACGTCTTCAATTTCACAGCCGGAGCGAATGCGCGAGCCGAGGCGGATGCCATCAAAGATGCGCTCAGTGCGGCCATTCAGGCTGCGAAAGCCGCTCAGGCCGCGCCCACCCCTCCTGTAGCTGCTGCTGCTGCTGGCAGCGCCGGCGGAGGCTCCAACGAAGGCGTCTCCGCGGCGATGGCGATGGCGAATGCGATCACGGCCGGAGGGAGCTACGAGAAGCCGTGGGACGATGACAAGCGACTCCAGGGCGACATGGAGCTGCAGCAGTCGCTGCTCAAGTCGAACCCGCAGCTGCAGCGCATGTTCATGGAGTCGATGGGCACCAAGCCCGAGACGCTCTCCGCGGGCCAGTTTATGAAGCAGTTCTGGTCGACACGGCTGCACCTGCTGCGCGCCCACGCGATCGAGCGATCGCAGACGCGCGGCTCCTACAACGTGCTGTCGACGCTCAAGCCGCGGGTGGAGGACAGTGTGACGAAGCTCAACATCAGCAAGGAGCAGATCCAGCTGATCTTCAACCAGCACCCGCTCGTGAAGCAGGTGTACGACGAGAACGTGCCCAAGCTGAGCGAGACGCAGTTCTGGTCGCGCTTCTTCCAGAGCCGGCTGTTCAAGAAGCTGCGCGGCGAGCGGATCTCCGAGACGGACGCGACGGATGCAATTTTGGATAAGTATCTCAAGGCCGACGAGCATGGGAATCTGCGGGATGCGCAGGTCCCGCACTTTTTGGATTTGGCAGGCAACGAGGTCAATCACAGTCAGCGGCGCGGCAATCGCCCCGATCTCGACATGCGACCGTCCTCCGTGGACAAGGTCCCGATCATCCGGACGCTGAACAACCTGAGTGAGAAGATTATGGCGAACGTCGCGCCGGCCGATGCGATCCCGCAAGCGAATGGCGACGCGGAGGATGATACGTACAACGAGCTGCAGCTGCGGGATCTGCGGGGCGACGAGGAGCAACGGCGCATCCTGCTGAATGTGAAGGACCAGAGCCGCTTTTTCTCGTCGCAATCCAAGACGAATGAGGATGAGGAGAGTCGGCTATTCGCGCAGCAGGATCCAAAGCAGATCCTGGACAACTTGCGTGGTGAGGTTGACCAAAACCTGCCAGAGGGTGGAATCGTGCCTCTGGGGCGCCTAGTGGAACCCGAGGAGGACGATGACGGCGATGAAACCAAGCAGGCCAGCCGGGTGGGCTCCCGAGCCAACTTAAAACGTGCATCAAGTCAGATCCTCGAGGCCATCCGGGACCGCCGCACGCAGACCGAGGTGTCAGCGATCTCCGGCACATTCGGCCTGTCGAGTGCGCTGTACGATCGACTCACGCTGACGCATGCGACCTCGACCGAATTCTTGCACCAGTTCTGGCAAGCATTCCTGTCGGGGAACCCCGACCGTGCGGGGGAAGTGGCCTCGTTGGTCGAATCGCTCAACCGGGCCATGGACCGCATCAAGGCCGTGCAGCAAGACGCAGAGGCGGAGCGACAGGTGGAAATGAACCGACTGCGGCGACACGCCCGAGAGGTGCTGGAGGCGACGGGCAAGAAATTGCGGATCAACTTGACGAATGTCGCTGGCGGGGAGCAGGCCGTGACCCGATTATTGGGGCCGACGATCCGCGCATTGGAAACGGCGCTGACGAAGTATAAGGACGCGTTAGCCGAGGAAATGAAGGAGATGCCTCCCGCGTGAGCTTGGAATTGGAGGGAACCATGTATGATAGAACTAGACATAAAAATGATGTGAAATATAGCTCCTCAATTGCCCTTATGTCTGAATGAGTATGAAGCAAAGATTACTAGGTACTAGTAGCTTATCGGCATGCCGAGAGACATAAGCCTCGGCCCGCACTCCCGTCATTGGCGCGACGTGGCAGGTGCAGTGGCCAACCTCACTTCCGCCATCCGCGATCCGCAATCCGCTCCGCAACCACGCGACATCAACTCGCAACAATACCCACACCACCCCTCATGCTATAAACCATCGTCCTTACATCCTTAGATAACAGCGAACTGGGAAATCGCCAACATATCCAAACCGTCACCCACACCCACAGAGCCAGACCGCACGGAGCTCCAAAATGCTAACCTCCGGCCTAACCAACGCGCCCATCTCCAAGGCGCTCCTCATCTACACGATCGGCGCCTCCGTCGCGCTCGCGATCTTCGACATCAAGCACCTCGCTTTGCTTCAAATCACGCCGCACCTGTGGCCGTACGGCCAGTACTGGCGCCTGGCGGCGTGGCAGGTGGCGGGGTTCGGCAACTCGACGGAGGCGCTGTTCGCGGCGATGCTGGCCTACCATCTGCGGGTGGTGGAGCGGGCGTGGGGGACGCGGAAGATGGGTGTACGCGACCTTCAACTCCCCCCTAGCACTTTGGATTACGGTTTTTCTCATAGCTTGAGCTATAATGGAGTGTGACATGTGCTATGTGCTAACGAGTGATGGCAAAATGGAATTAGACCTTCCTCCTAACCACCCTACCCTACACGACGCTCCTCCCGCCGCTCCTCCTCCTCCTGCTGCGCCCTCTCACGCTCACGAAGCTGAATGCGCTTCCGTCGGGGCCCACGGCCACGCTCTTCGCGGTACTGGCGCAGTACCACGCGGCGATCCCGCCGACGGTGCGGTATTGTCTTTCCACGGCGTCAAGCAACCCTAGTCCTCCGGCGTCAGCAGCACAGCAACCCCCGCCGACGGACGCACACCCCCCCAAATCAAACGTCACGCTCACGCTCTCCGACAAATCGACCACCTACCTCGTCGCGGCGCAGCTCGCCGCCTCGCAGTTCCCGACTATGCTTCTGCCGGCCGTGGTCGGATGGGGGGTCGGGCTGGCGTGGCGGACGGAGGCGCTGCCGCTGTTCTTTGTGCCGGGCGGGTATCGGTGGCGGGTGCCGGGGTGGGTGGTTGGGCAGGCAGACCGAAACCGTGCGGGGGTAAGAGGGGGAGGGGGTGAGGAGGGCACTGGGTCCGGCGGGGAGCGGTATGAGGAGTTGCGGCGGAGGTTGGAGGGGGAGGTTGTTGCTGCTTCGGGGTCGGAGGGGGCTGGCGCTGGCGCTGGGATAGAAGGGGCTGGGGCTGGCGCTGCGCAGCGGTTGAGACGCGGGGTGGGGGCTTAACAAACCTTCATCTCTCTGGGCGTTTGATGCTGCATGATGGGATTTGATCTGGGATTCTCTAAGGGTCATGTATGAGACTTCAATCGTGCTAAACTATCTACTCCGGGATACAACAAGACTCTTCTCAACATGCTGCCCGAAGTGTCCAAAGCACGAGGTATCTAAATATAGTGGGTAAGACGCACATCGTCAACTCAACCTCCACGAATCCATGGCTCTTATCACAAGACAAAACGCAAAAACAAAAACACATGTCCTCAGGGAGGATCGAACTCCCGGCCTTGGGATATCCTGGAAGTTGACGGCTTCCAAGTCATATTCGAGTTGATATGAGACCCACGTGATAACCACTACACCATGAAGACATTGGTTGGAGAAGTGGCGGGATTTCTGCCATTATGAGCCAGTGGTAAAAATAGCCCTGGTTCAAGCAACGGGTAAATTAACTAGCCTTCTTGCTTCTGCATTGTCAAGTTCCATAGTGCAAACTGCAACCAACCTAAGAAACATCATTACACATTCTCCGGGCCGCAACGAGCTTAGCACTGGATTGAGCTTTACATATATCGATGCACGTTTCACGCATGACACGTCTACCGAAACTACTCCGCAAATCGAATGGAAAGGTCACTTGTATTTGGATTCTACTAAAATCTCGCCCATTGATTGCCTGTCCAAGTGCCAGTCAACTAGCCAACGGATGAACCATATACCTCCAGCACTCCTTATTATGGCATCCGCTACGGCTTGGAATCTGTTGTCGACGGGGGTCTGGCAGGCAGGCAGGCAGGCAGATAACTACAGCGTTCTTAGTCTATCAGTAAAAAGGCAAAGTACCCATGCTCCCGGCCGCTAACTTCCCCAAAGTAAAGCACGACACCGACAAGCCCTCCGATCAACCAGCGCCTACCCTCGTCGATTCTGAAACAAGAAAGAAGACGATCAGAGAGGACGGAAGGTCGGGGTAAGAAAGAGTCTAGGAAAGAGACCACCAGGAAGAAGGAGTCCCCAAGCTTACACTTACTTTTAAAACCTGCGAGCTTGGAACTTCAGTTACAGCCAGATACCTCCCTCCTCTTGAGATCACCGAGGGCGAAGGTCCTGAAAGTTGCTTTCAGAGGTGTACACCTTCTTACAGGCTAACTGGCATGCCCATTCGAGTCCCTTCCCGGACAATATAGCCAGCGCCGCTTTGGACACCAGCGTAGGACGTTCGATCCTAAGCGTCAGCACTACTTCAAGGGCCGCCCTGAGCTCTTCAAGGACCAAATGCCCAGGGGACTGTTGCGCAGTCATTTGATTTTAGTTGAATGCTTGTTTACTTTTTCTTTGGGACTGGACTGGGGGGAGGAAGCTGGGCACACACAAGAGGCGGGAGACACCAAAAAGTCCCGGGAAAAGGGTACTATAGGTTCTTTAAGTACCTGGCTGAGACTATAGTACTCCGTAGACCGCCTCTAACTAGCGTATCCTACTACTAGAAGGAAGGCCTATCTATTTCTGGAGTTCCTCCCCATTTCTAGACCAACCGACCTCGAGAACGGGTTCATCTTTCCTGCGAGGCCCAGACTGGCGGGCACGTCTCGATGCCCCGAGTCTCTCACGTGGACAGCCGGTTGATGACCCTGATGAGATGAAAGCTTGAGCAACATGAAAGGATGTGCTAAAAGCTTTCGCTCTCGCTCTTCATCTCCCCGCAGTTCTATACTAAACGCGACGCCATCGTAAGTATAGCAGACTTGGGCATGGGCATGAGTCAGAAAGCGAGTGGATGTGGAAAAACAAGCACTTTTGACCATATTTCTTTGTTTCTTTCCTTCCTTTCAGAGTCCACTTACGCCGAGACAATGTACAAGTTAACGTGAGCAAGCAGAAGCACATATAACGACTATCGAGGCACGGGACTGGTATACACATACCGACCACCCAAACAACAAGATTACAAACACCAGTCTGTTTTCTTTCACATTGGAGCACCTGAAATCTGGGAAGAGCTGAAAGTATTACTCCTGGAGCTGCCTTTCAGTCCGACGATACTCTCTTTCCTGGCTGGTTTCTATATGGGATTGTTGAGATCTGCCCTACCTTGATTTCTGGCTGCCAATACCAAGCCAATGATCGACTGTGTGTATGAGATTTCAAGATCCTGCGGCCTAGCACTGTTCTTTATGTGTCGTTGACTTTGAACTGAAATTGATTGGGGGAAAGAATAACAGGTAGTTTCAATGACAGTTTCCGAACGTCCACATTGTCTGCGTACCGTCTGGGGATCACACTTTCTAGCAACCGACCAACCTCATCCATAAACACAGTAGATGAGAACCAACACCTAAGCCACAAATCCTATTCCAAAGTATATACCATATCGAATACTTCTATCTATCCATGGATGAAAAACTCCCCCTGAACTCCAATGTCCTGTCCTGTCCAACTCGCTCCATCCAACCACAGCAAAACAGCTCTCTTCAACGCCCACTACGACTCCGTCGCATGTTATCCTTGCACTCGTTACAATACCATTTCACTGTCGCCAAAAATGTTAGCCGAGATCAAATCAAATCAAACATGAAAAAACATACCGTTCTTGCCAGGCGGTTTCGTCAACCCCACACACGACAGATGGAACCACTCGCGCGGACAGGCATCGTTGTCACACGCCACCATCTCACCGAAGCTGATCTCATTGCAGTAGCAGTACCGCGGCTCGCCGTCCTCGTCCTCGTCGTCGCCCTCGTGCAGGGATTCCTCCTCCTCCGACACCGCCCGCTGCGGCACCACCACCGGCACGCTGCCGTTCTTCTTGTGCGAGCGTTTCGTGGTAGTCGTGGTGGTGGCGGCGGGAGCGAGATCGGTGCTTCGAGTTGGGCGCACACGCTGCGTCGTTGTCGTGGCGGTGGCGGTGGCGGCGGCAGCAGCAGTAGCAGCAGCGCTGGTGGACGATTCTGTGAACGTCGGCAGCACGGGGGTGGAGGTCTTGGAAGATCGGCCCTTGGGTGGCGGGTTCGGGATCAAAACCGGGGCAGGTGCAGGCGCCGAAGCACTAGCAGCATTCGCAGCAGTGGTAGTAGCGGTAGCCGGCGGCGGCGCTGGTGTTTCGCTGGGTTCGATGGATGGTGTTGGCTTGCCGCCGTCGGTGTCCTCGCGCTTCGTGCTTACTGGCACAGGCATCTTTGCCACGTCCATGCCCTCGTCGGCCATCTCGCGCGGGGTTTCGTTGGCCGAGCTGGGGGTGGCTTGCGGTTTGGCTGTGCTTTCTTTGATGACGGTCTTCGTCTCGGTTGTTTTGTCTGTGACAGGAATATGTCAGTTGAGACTGCAGCAATCGCAGCCGAGAGTCTAGAAGAAAACTCACTGTTCCCGGCCACACGATTGGAGGCGGATGACGATGGGCGCTGACGGCCGTTGTTTGCCGGTCCGGCAGTCTGCTGCGCACGGGAAGACTGCGGTCGTGCCGCACCGGGGCCTGGACTGGCTGCGTTGCGTGGGATCGTGGCTGCAGCGACAACCGGCGAAGGGGCGAGGATTGGCGAATCGGCCGCTGAGTTGCCTTGGTTGTTTCTGTTTGGTCACCAAGAAGTCAGTATCAGCTCGTGTAACAACAATCACAGCAACAAAGAAGACTTTGTTTTCTTTCGCAACTGCATGATCAGACGAAAACCCCCAAACATTCGCAACCTTACCTCTTTCGTGAAGCCGCGTTGGCATTCGGCGCACGCGATCTCTTCTTAGTGGCACCCCCCGCACCGCCAGCACCAGCACCAGTAGCATCTACATCCTTGGAGCCAGCCCGGCCTGCAGCACCACCTGCAGCACCGCCTGCGCCGCTCGCTGACCTCTCCATCGCAGCGCCCGTATCCACAGGCGGCGGCCTCTCGACCTTCCTCCGCTTCGCCTGACCGGAGGTACTGCCACCCTGCCCAGCACCACCGACATGTTCACCAGCCTGGCCTCCGGGACCAGCAGCGGCAGCGGCGCCTCCTCCTGCACCGCCTCTAGCCTTGCCACTCTGTCCTCCCTTCCTGCCACCACCACCTCCACCAGCAGCAGCCCCGCCAGATCCCCTCGCTCCATCATCCAAATCCGAATCCACATGGGTCGGCCCTAGCCCAGCCCCCGCGCCGCCCCGCCGCTGCCTCCTAGCCATAGCCGCCTCGCGTCTAGCCTCACTCCGCGAGGAACCCTCCGCATCATGGCCAGCTCCATGCCCATGGGCCCCATGCCCATGCGAATGCCCATGCCCATGCGCCAATTCCGTCTTGCCGGACCCCGTAGCATCGCGCCTGGGACGGTCCGTCGTCTTCGCGCTACCAGCGCCGATACCCACCAAGCGATTCGAATAGGCCCAATGCGACAAGCTGCCCAGGCGGGCCTCGTCGCTGACCTCGCCCGCGATGAAGGGGAAGACGGCATCGAGGCGGGTAAGCTGGCGATCAAGCTCGTCGTTGGCATTCGAAATGACATGATTCTTCTCATCGGCGGTCATCATCAGATCCGACAGCGTGTGCCGGACACGGTCGAAGAGGAGGCGACGATTCTTGCTGGCGGGGGATTCCGAGGGGGGCTGTTGTCATTCCGGGTTTAATTAGCATCGTGACCCACGAAAAAAAAAAAAAAAAACATCTCGATGACCCGTATTGGCAGTAGCAGTGCAGATAAGGGGGGAAAAACATACCATCGACCCAATCCCCAGCCCCAACCCCAAACCATCACCATCCACCCCCTCCCCGTCTCCCTCCCCAAGACTCCGCCCGCAATCCCCCGACCCATTCTCAACCAACCCAAACCCCGACCCCGACCCAGACCCAGAAACCGGCCGCGCCTCCGCACTCGCCTTCAACAACTGCAACAGATTCTCCTCCAGCGCCCACGCCTTGGCGTCCACCTCCTTGAGCAGGGAATTATGCCGCCGAAACTCCCGCGGCAGCGCCGTGATGGCGTCGGTGAAGTGGGTGAGCGCCGGGTAGAAGCCATGCGGGATCGGGGTGGTCGCGTTGGCCGCGGCGTGGTCGGCGGCAGAGGAGCGGTGGTGGAGACCGGAGGAGCCGCCGCCGGTGGTGGTGGTGCCGTGGCCGAAGGCGAAGGAGGACCGGGATTGTGTCTTGGAGGTGCGCGAGGGGTTGGTGCGCGTTTGTCGGGGTTTTGTGGTGGTGGTGGTTGTCGTCGTTGTGGTGGTGGTTGCCGTGGCTGCGGTTGTGGTTGTGGGATTGGGGTGGGTTGTGGAGGAGGTGCTGGCTGGGAGGTTGGGTGGGAGTGTGGTGGTCATTTTGGTGGATTTCTCGTGAGAATCTTTGGGAGAGAATAGAGAGGCTTTTGTGGGAAGTGGGGAAGAAGGAGAGAGAGAGAAAGAGATTTAGAAAGTAAAGACAGAGGAAAAGAGAGAGAGGAGAAAAGTGGAGGGAGGAGAAATGAGGATAAGAGAAGAAGAGGATTTGCGTCTTCCACCTCAGTGAAACAACACAATCTAGCTGAAATGGTGAATTGACCCAGCTGGAAGTAGATCTTAGACGGAGACAGCACTGCTGATGCTATAACCCACGGAAATCACCATAGGCGCAACAGGCATGAGAAAAGCAGGAGAAGTTGTAGCGCCGAAGATAAGTAAGTTGAAGTGCTGGCTTGCGGTGCGGAGAAGGAATGAGCCCCATCAGGTGATTGACGCCTGGGCCCTCAGGCATCGACATTCCTTAGTCAGAGCCGGGTGTCAACACAGAAAATGACATCACCTGCCCGGATCGAGGGGTGCTACGCATACCGGCTGGGCAAGTTCAACCTACTCAGTGACTACTTAGCCACAAGACCAAAGTCAAGTGACAGTTTTCAACAATTGGGGCTGTGGTTTAGTGGTATAATATTCCCTTAGCATGGGAGAGGTCCGGGGTTCGATTCCCCGCAGCTCCATCTTTTTGCTGCTTTTCTTTCCGACCTTCAACACCCGTTGTTGGTTTATTCTGTTTCAAAGGTTCCCTCCCGTGTTATTTTTTATTTTATTATTTTTTTTTTTTCGCTCGGTCATCGACGAGACACCGTACAGCAACGACAACACCCCCGAGCCATCTTCCCACTGCAAGCACCACAGTGTACACGACCCGTGCCAATACCTACGACAACCACCAGGTCTCACATACCAAACACGTACGCTGCTGCGAAAGAACTAAACAGAGAAAATCATATCAATGTCTTAATTTACACGCGTGCGCTAAACACATGCAAGGTATCGGCAGGCCAGACCATCTAACATGTGCAAGAACGACACACCAGAGCTCCGACACACGCAAGCAGGACTTGTTGTATAAACCATCGTACACTATGCTTTGTAGACAAAGGAAAAGAAAACCATACAGTGAAGACCTAAATGAGTTGACACAAAACTAGCTCCTTCCGCCAAACCCAGAAAAAGATGTCCCAAAAACCCCCACTCTACTCGCCCTTCAGGCGCTCCTGGTGGACGCTGAAGGCATCCTCGAGGAACTCCTGCTCCTCCTTCAAGTGAACGGACTTGAGACCAGTGGCCACAGAGGCACTCGGGGCACGACCGGCGTAGAGGACGTGGCGGCGGTTGTGGTGCTCGGTCTGGTTCAACAAGGTCTCGATACGAGGCTGAGTGTAGCTCCAGGCACCGGCGTTCAGGGGCTCCTCCTGGCACCAGACGATGTTGCGGGCGTTGGGGTAGCTGTCGAGGTTCTCCTTCAGCTGAGCCCAAGGGAAGGGGTGCAGCTGCTCGATGCGGGTGATGGCGGTGTTGCGGATGTTGTTGGCCTCACGGTGCTTCTGAAGAGCGGCGTACACCTGGCCAGAGCACAGGATAACACGCTCGATCTTCTCAGGCTCGTCGATCTCCTTGCCGTGGCCCTCATCGGGAATGATCCACTGGAAGTGGGAATCGCCAGTGAAGTTCTCGATATCAGAGCGGGCAATGGGGTGACGGAGGAGGGACTTGGAGAAGAAGAGCACAAGAGCTGTGACTAGAGTCAGTTTGGAAACAGGATAACAGAAGGCAAGGAGAACATACGCTTGCGGAATTGACGGTGGATCTGGCGACGCAGGATGTGGAACAGGTTGGCAGGGCTGGTCATGCAAGCAATCTGCATGTTGCAGTCCTGGTGCTGGCGGTCAAGCTTGTCCGCGGAGGGGAAGATACGGGGCTCCTCGTTGCAAAGCTGCAGCCAGCGTTCCATTCTACCGGAAGAGTGCTCGGGACCCTGACCGTCGTAACCGTGGGGCAGAGACACGACGAGACCAGAGCGCTGGAGCCACTTGGACTCGCCGGAAGCGATGAACTGATCGATGATGACCTGAGCGTTGTTGGCGAAGTCACCGAACTGGGCCTCCCACATGACCAGAGCGTTGGGGGAGGTCAGGGAGTAACCGTATTCGAAACCCAGACTGCAGACAGATTAGCATGAGTAGGAGACTGCAACTTGTAATATCCAGGCAAGAACTTACCATCCGAATTCACTGAGGGAGGAGTTGGAGATGACAAAGCTACCCTGCTTCTCGGAAATGTCCCGGAGAGGGGTGTAGGTAGTCTCGTTCTCCTGGTCGTGGAGAACAGCGTGGCGCTGGGAGAAAGTACCACGCTCAACGTCCTGACCGGAAACACGGACATGGTAGCCCTCAGACACGAGAGAGCCGAAGGCAAGAGCCTCAGCAGTAGCCCAGTCAATGTTCTTGCCCTCATCGACGGTCTTCTTGCGGTTGGCCAGAATACGCTTGAGGTTGCGGTGGAGAGTGAAGCCCTCAGGAGCACCGCTGATCTTGCCAGCAATGTGCTGCAGGAGAGAGGTGTCAACACCGGTGGGGAGGTGAGGCAGAACCTCGTTGGCCAGCTCCTTGGGGGTCTTGAAGCCGTTCCAGGCAGAAGTGAGCCACTCCTTGCCGGTGGGCTGGTAGTCCTTGCTGCGGTCGAAGCTGTCGTTGAGCATGCCCCAGACCCACTTCTTGTGCTCGTCAATGTCCTCCTTAGTGAAGGTACCCTCGGCGATGAGCTTCTCGACGTACTTGTCGAGCTGAGCCTTCTGCTGAGCAATGCGCTTGTACATCAGGGGCTGGGTGAAGGAAGGCTGGTCGGTCTCGTTGTGACCCTGCTTACGGTAGCAGACAATGTCGATGACAACATCACTCTTGAACTCGGCGCGCCAGTCAGCGGCGACCTGGCAGACGTAGTTGACAGCCTCAACATCATCGGCGTTGACGTGGAAGACGGGAGCATCGATGGACTTGGCGATGTCGGAGCAGTAGGGGGTGGAACGAGAGTAACGGGGATCGGTGGTGAAACCAATCTGGTTGTTCACAATGATGTGAATGGTACCACCGGTGGAGTAGGCAGGGAGAGAGTGGAAGCCCATGGTCTCGTAGACGACACCCTGACCAGCAAAGGCAGCATCACCGTGGAGGAGGACACCCATGGCGGAGTCGAAGTTGGTCTCGTCCTTGTTGTAGTGCTGGATCGAGCGGGTCTTTCCGAGGACGACGGGGTCCTCAGCCTCCAAGTGGGAGGGGTTGGCGACCAGGGAAAGCTGCACGCGCTTACCCGAGGGGGTCGGGCGCTCGAAGTTCATACCCAGGTGGTACTTGACATCACCGGAGCCCTCGTCGGACGGCTCGGCGGAACCAGCGAATTCGCTGAAGATGGATTCGTTGGGCTTACGGACGACGTTGGAGAGGACGTTCAGACGACCACGGTGGGGCATACCAATGACAATGTCCTTGATACCGTAATCGACACTGCGGTCGATCAAGGCCTTCATACCGGGCACCAGGGTTTCGCAACCCTCCAGACCGAAACGCTTATCGTTGGGGAACTTGGTGGCAAGGAAGGACTCGAAACTGTGAGACCAGATCAAGCGGTCGAGGATACGGCGCTTGTCATCGACGGAGTACTTGTAGGGCTCGGGGACCTCGAAGCGGTCACGAATCCAGTCGCAAGGCTTACGGTCGGGGATGTGGATGTACTCAACACCGTAAGATCCGCAGTAGATCTTCTCGCAGGTAGCGATAATCTCGCGCAGAGTCATCTTCTTGCGGCTCTCAGTAGCAAAGCGGGGCAGGATACCGGGTCCAAGAGTGAACTCCTCGTCGAGATCACGCTCCGTGAAACCGTAGTGGTCGAGCTCGAGCTCCTTAGGCTTGTTGTAGCCGAAAGCCTCGGCCTCACCACGGATACCAAGAGGATCAATCTTGGCCTTGTGGTGACCACGAGCCTGGTAGGCACGGACCAAAAGCTGAACCTTCAAGTGATTCGTGACATCGGTACCAGCGGCGAAGCTAAGACCCTCACCGGGCATGTTTTGAGGGACACCGCCCGTAGGGGTGGGAACGAGCGTGGGAGGGGGCTGGAAGGCCTGAGAAACGGGCATCTTGCCTTCCTCCATGTTCTTGAAATACGTTTGCCATGAGATGTGAACGCTGGAGGGGTCGTTCTTCCATGCCAGGTACATCTCATCGACATAGTTGGCGGTGTTTCCAGAGAGGAAAGAATCGTTGGCATCAACGCCCTCAGCGGACTGGGCGTAGTGACGTTTGCTGTTGACCACCGCCAGAGGACGGCGAGTGGTCAAGCCGAGTTTCGAGCTGCGGAAAGACACATTTCTGGCGCTGGAAGCGAGGGAGATGGATCTTGTGCAGGCGGAGCGCATGCCGCTGTTGGCGGCCTTGACGGCTGTGGAGCGAAACATGGCGGGAATTTTTGCTGATGCGGTTTGCGACGAGCTTAAGATGATAGAAAGGCAGATGAATGTTGTGGAGAGGGAGCTGTTTGATCTGTTGACGCGTCAATTGGCATGTTAGCTAGAGCTTCATGTTGCGGTCATCACTGCGGGATTTTTTTTCGGCGGACCAAAGGAACACGCACGCTGGGAGAAGAAGGGTTTCTAGGATCGAAAGCAGGTGTCGACTATTGTTGCCGTAGCACCTGAGCAAAAACGGGACTCATCAGAGAGTGAACACACTCTCAATAAACAAAAGGAATTCAAGAGGGGAAGCCTCTAGGTGTTGTTGTAAGGTGGAGTAGAGAGGAGAGAGGAGTAGTAGTAATGGAAGAGAGGAGATGGGAACGGGATGGGAGGGAACTTGGAACTGGCAGCAGGACAGAGACCAACAGCCAGGCAAGGCAGAGGTTTGCCGAGAATAGTACGGAGGTACGGCTATGACGGCCAGCGCAGCTGTGGCTGATGCGGCTTGCAGGTGAAGCCACAGCTGACTCATCCCGCTTTGTCCGTTTCCACTGCGGACCGAGGGAATTCTCAGTCACAGCGGATGTCCAGCGATGCCCAGCGATGCCCAGCGGTGGCGGGCCGGACTTCCCGGTTGCGGTTAAGCAGCAGCACCGCCACACCCGGCTATGAGCATTTCCCGGGCCGGGTTTTTGCGGGAGGGCACGTGGACCCAATGACATCAAATGCAGGCCGGGCACGCGGAGCACTCCAGCGCTGCTGGTCAGCCCTGCTGCTCAGACAAATCTACAAGTAGGAGCCCTAGTCTCGATCTTGACCCCAGACCCAGAGCAACAAACTTCGATCGGCGTCGTGTCAGAAGACCCTCCTTACGGGGATCAGATCATGCGTGCGTGCTGACAAAATCACGGG